CTTTTTCCTCCCACAACATATACTTCGCTCTACTTCTATGCATTGAGCACTGTTCTACGAAAATCAAGTCACACTTTATATATATATATATATATTTACAATCAAAGGTAACCTAATAAATTAAAAATGAAGTAATATACACTATTTATTGTCTAAAAAGCATAGATGGAATAAAGCTACACTTGAAATGCTCGGTACATACTGCTGCGAGTGTAAAATTAGAAGAGTTGCCCAAAGGAATAGGGGAGTCATTAGCATCACAGCGCCGGGTGGGGACGAGGGGCATGAAACCTGGATTAGCAAGACTAGTTAACTTGGAAAAACTTTTAGAGCACAAGGACTCACGACGCAGAAGAAGACTTGGTAAATTCAGTGGTAGAGACGTGGTAAATTCACTTTGATTTGATAAATATGAATTAAGAAAATTTTTTCACTAAAAACTACTTTTCAAGCATTTATTGGTCCAATTCAGCTTGTGTTTCTCTGTGCCTTGGCTTTACATACATACATACATACATACATACATACATACATACATACATACATATGACTGCTCCCCATAGGGGCTTTTCGGGGCCAACACCACCCATCCCACCCAAGGGAGGACATCCACCACACAGTAATCTAGTGCATGGGGAAATTAACATCTCCTACCCCTAACCCTGCAGGAGTCGGGGCCAACGGTTTATTCGTCCTTATCCGAGAAGACTAGAATATCTATCCATTTCTTGACTATAGAAAGGTAGCAAATTCTCCTCAGGTATTTTGAGACCATGAGTATTGGTCCAGCCAGCTTTTCTGTTTTCTCTGAGTTTTAAAACAGATCAAACCAGCCAGACACAGCATTGAACTGCTTGTGAATGGGTTTTCAAAGATGAACACTTTACAAGGTAACAACAAACATATGAAACATATGTGTGATCGTGCTCATATACGACTTTACAAGGTGTTTGATTTCATGCCATTACTCGAAAAATACGAGAATATTAATATTATTTTTATTGAGAAAGCTTATTAAATGTTTTTCAAATCAAGTGTTTTTTGTTTATTGACACCAATTCTATCAGCTAATGAGACAATCTTAGTCCACAAATGTTCCATGTCATTACGTTTGATCTTAGATGTCTCCACTAGAGGCTGGTTACAGTTGAAGGATTTTTCAGGCATAACTGAGTCTTGGGAACATCCTTCTCCTTCACTGTCTTTACTTTGCTTACATCTACTTCTTAAATCTTTTATTATACCATTAGTAATGCCATCCTGTGTACCAAGCATTTCAAATGCTGCCAATAATTCATGTTCATTTACAGTTCTGTTCATAGTTCCCACTTTGTGATGAGTAAGAGAGGCACCTCCAGTTTCTGAACTTTTCAAAGAACATTGACCTTGTGGGTTCATTTGGTCCAGTATAGGATCTTGCATAGTTTGGGCACTTAAAGCTTCCTTCTCCATTTGGCAGACCACTGCAAGTAGTTCTGTGATTTCATTTGTGATGTTTGGATGAGGATCTTGCACATAATTTGAACTCGCAAATAACATCAGAGCACTGTTGTATGAATAACAAGAATGAGTAAAGTGAAGATGTAGAGCGACTTAAAGATATTGTTAAGGATATGTATGGACATGATTTACCTCAAGACTCCTCTAAGCTTTGCCCATTCCCTTGAAACACTGGCTCCAAAAATAAATCCTTCATTGAAACCTTGTTGTAAACTGGCTTCCTTTCCAGATTCCATACCCTCACGGTACCCAGCCTTAAAAAAAAAAATTAACATTTTTATTCCAAGGCACCCTTCATTAAGATGCAAATTCTGAGATAAAGAGCCAAACATGGTATTTTGCTTCATGTTCCTTTTATTCATTACTGTAGCAGACATCTAAAAGCAAATAGAAGAAAGGGTTGAAGTCCTCTGATCAAATTTCAGGAAAGAGGTTGGAAAACAGGTCTGAAACACGTTTGACTGCAGCATAAAACGATCGAAATTTCAATTCTGTATCACCAACATCATGATTTGATTGTTATTGAAAAGTGCATCAAAATAATATAACTCACTGCAATTGCATTTATTTTTATTTATTTATAGCAATTTAATGGCAGAAATACACAGGTGCAGGTATGATACAGTTAATTAATTAAAAAAAAATATGCCAGAAGGAGAATCTGCAAAAGAGTCCCAGACCCCATGTAACAGCAGATCACCCTATATATATATAGTGCGAATGAGATACTATGTTGTAATAAAGAAAAATAAAATCATGATTTAGCCGTAAGAAACTTCTTCACTTTTAAATTTAAAATTCCCAGAACAATTTGCAGTGCGAATGTCGACAGGCAACATATTCCAAGAATCTACTATTCGATGGAAATAGGAATATTTAAGGGATTATCACATCCTTATTTTTTAGTTAGCATCAGATGATCATAATGTAATTGCAGTCCTGAGCCATCAGATAACCCGTCTGTGAAATGCAAATACTAAATTTATAACGTACCAAAGCTACTTACCCTGAAAATGTACTCTTGGAAACGATGGGAAAATGCGGGAAAACAGAAAGAGAAAAAGGAAAAGAGCGAGAACAAACGGGCCAACTGAAGAGAAATCGGCTGGGTGTAGAAATACTGATACTGAGCCCTCAGAATATAGAGCCACATAAAAGCGAACCATCATTCTGAGGGAGCCTTTGAAAACGTAAGAAATCTCCTCTCAGCATAGAGATGTCCCATCAGCCAGGGTAATAGCCGGGTTTCCACCTCCAAGGACATTTGGAACGTCAGGAACGAGGGAAATTGGAAATTATGACTTTGAGAATTTGTCTAACTTTCTTAGATCAACCAAATTTAGGAATTAGTTTTTAATGCACCATTAAGATATATATTACCGCTTCCTGACTTTGTCTCATCTTTCTGTAGTCCATATCTGTATATTCCATATCCTGAAACACCTCTTCCTGTTCGTCCATCACATCCGCCATGTTCGAAGTTCGAATTAACATAATTTATGCGTGGGACACATGCGCAAAATAATTTGCCTGAATGCCTCCACAATCCAAAATGGCGCCGGCGACAGAGAAAAACATCATTACCACAATCCAATTTCATCTCGCTCCCTGTTTCACGAAAATGCGTTCCTTATAAAAGATATATATTGCAGTTCATATTTCTTTTGTTTTGCCGGTTTAGTTCTCAATTAAGTGAACAATGTAGTGGCATTTCAGCCCAAACTTCTCATCAAGATGCCCAGTTCTCGTAATGAGAAGGAATTGAGCCCTTCTGCTCGAAACTATAGCAAAGGAAAAAAGTCATCCCATAAGCAAAAGAAACATAGAAAACGCCCTAAAACTGAGGCCTCAGTTGAAAAGCTAAAGGAACAATACGAAGATATTTCCTCCGCTTCAGAAGAAACCGAACAGTTGCCTGTTCAAAGGTACAGCTCAATCTCACGGAGCCCCTCGCCCGTTGCGTCGAAAAAATCAAAACCTAGTGTCAAACGAAAGAAGTCGAGAAAGGATAGCACAGTACAAGGATCAAGCAAAAAACGTAAGAAACATGGCAAGTCGCCCATGAATCTTCCGCTAATGGAGGGAGGCGCTTTGTCGCCAGTTTCCAGGTCGAAATGGAAAGACGTGACACCATCTCCAAAAATGCTGTCGAACAGGGATACAATCGGGCACTACTCCCCTATGCGTACTGTATCTAAGCGGCGAGGCTCTGAATCGCCTCATGTTCCAAGAGCTTACAGACCTAAGTCACCAAGTAGGAGTCCAATGATGAAAGTTTGGTCAAGATCTCCTTACAGCCATAGATCAAGATCACCATCACCTCCTCCTTATGGATCACGGGGGAGGTCACCCATGGAGACGTTCAGATCTCAAGAGAGATCTCCATATCGCTCACCTATAGGACAATTCTCACCATATGACAGCCGAGGCAGGTCTTACATGCCCTACAGCAGGAGACGAACACCCTCACCATATGGACGTCATTCACCATCACCACCCTTCAGGAATTCAGGGTTAAGGAATAGGAAAAATCAGAGGAACCCTAACAGACCACGCAGCAGGTCTTTGTCACCACCTCCACCGGCACGCTCCAATATTAGAAGTCGCACACCTCCAAAGAGGACCCAGCGACGCTGTTCACCTCGAAGCCCAAATGTTCATCAATCAGGTCTTAAGTCTGGAAGCAAAAATGCCTCATGGCAGAGGTCAAGTTCTTCGAGAAATGACACCATAAGGAAAGCAGATGACAAGTCTGTAAACCGAGACACAAGAGACAAACTTTTGACTAACAAGGATTATTTATTTAAGGACAAAGGCAGAGGTGATACTGTAGATGGAGTGAGCAAGAATTCAGTGAAGGATGTCATCAACAAATCAAAACAAAATTTAGAACCTAGTGCAAAAGATTCTCCAGTGAATGGTCCTGCAAAGGGAGCTAATTTGACTTCATCTAGAGTTAAAACAGAATGTGAAGAAACTAAAAAGCCAACGCAAAGTGAATCAATACCAGCTCTTCCACTTCCTCCTTTGAATGAGCCAGTGCCACCACCTCTTCCTAGCGAGGAGCCACCTCCTTTACCTCCAGATGAAGAGAGGCCACCTCCTCCTCCTGCCCCTACTTTACCACCACTACCTTTACCACCAGAACTTCCTGGTACTCCAGGTGAATCTCCTACTTCTTACTCGCCACGCTCCCCAGGAGGAAAACTTCCTGAATCTCCCAAGTCTTCACAGCATTCCTTTCCTCCATTACGCCCTTTAAAGGATACAGATGGCTCTGGATTGCCCTCAGTTTCAGGGCCAAGCAGTCAGAGTGAAACACCACTGTCAACACCAGATACCACTCCAAAGACTCCAGCTGAGAGTGAATGGGGAGAAAGGTGTGTTGACATGTTTCAGATCATTGATCAAGTTGGAGAAGGAACATATGGGCAAGTTTATAAAGCAAAGGACAAGATAACAGGTATTTATGCGTGGATGTAACACTCAGTGAAAACTGTTTTCTCTTAAATGTGAACCAGTCTCCACTTTTCTTGACTGTTTTCATACTGAAGTTAAACTTTGTTGTAAATTATTGGACTAAGTTACCATACTCATGATATAAGCCAAGAAATTTTGAACATTTGATTGGCTAATCACATAAATGTTCAAGTCCATTTTTTTTTTCATTTTGGGTCAAATTATCATAGGTCTTTAACATAGGTAAACACAAATCTAGAATTGGAGGTTAATTGGCCCAATTTCATCTCAACTTGAAGCCTATAAACCAAATAAAAATTGAATCCAGTCTGCTAATCATGGGATTTAAGGAAATGTTCTTGTTATATGAACAGGGGAACTGGTTGCCCTGAAAAAAGTACGCACTGACAATGAGAAGGAAGGTTTTCCTATTACAGCAGTGAGAGAGATCAAAATCCTTCGTCAGCTGAATCATCACAATATTGTGAACTTGAAAGAAATTGTTACAGACAAACCAAATGCTCTTGATTTCCGAAAAGATAAAGGTGAGTGAGATATTGATTCTGGTGATTAGCTTTTCTCCTTCATTCAGTACACATTCTATGCAAAATATAAATGTTTCAAAAGAATGGAATTGTGACAATGTTAATAACTTTTTACTGAATTTATGATGCCAATGATTTATCTATTGCTTGATGTCAGGTGGGTTTTATCTTGTGTTTGAATACCTGGATCATGATCTGATGGGTGTACTGGAATCTGGCTTGGTTCATTTTACGGAAGATCACATCAAGTCCTTCACAAAACAGCTTTTAGATGGCCTCAGTTACTGTCATCGCAAAAATTTTCTTCACCGAGATATTAAATGCTCCAATATTTTGCTGAGCAACAAGTATGTATAGTATCTTTCGACATTTTCTTTTATGTGGCAGGCTGGTGGGCTTTTTTACTTACTCTTGGTTCTATTTTACTTTGTTTATTATTATGACGAGTTAACTTGAATTGAATAGTGTAATAGCCCTTTTTACAGTTCCAGGCACCATATTTGATTTGTAACCACGCAAACATGATAGTGAGGCTAGTGTTGACCTGGCTGTTCTTCCAAACACCTGATCTGCTGATGTTTTGCGTTATAATGCACTTTTAATGCGAGTTCTTCCTTCAAAATGGTTCTTAAATACAGCAATATAGAAATTTCATCTTTAGATGATAACCAGAAACTCAAAACAAAAGATCTCAGAATCACTGGGCGGACTTAGTGTCGAAAGTTTATGCTTTGCTGATGTGACACATCCTTCCATCGAGTGGTGGAGAAAACGGAGAGCTTCTTGCAGATGTCCAGGACCTAGAACAAAACCAGAGTAACTTTAAATAGGAAGTAACTATGGTAAGGATTTCAGCCCTTGGTTGGTCAAGTGATCTCCGTAATTTATGTGAGATGAATTTCATTCAGCTTTACAATTACCTTGTTGTTTCCACACAAAAGTCACATGGATGTCTTCTTTTTTTAAATGTTCTGAGCATAAAAAAGTTCATTTTCTGATGAAGAATCTGTCCTTTCCATGCTGGCGCTTCATGAGATTGCCCTACCAGTTTCACCGCTGGACGTCCTTCGGAAACGAGAAGAAATAGAGGCCTGTTGGATTGCCTTTAGCATCTTAATAGCTAGTAACACAATTAAAGGTGGCACAGTGTCTTCCTCTTTTCGAAGAAAAAGACACGGTATCCTGCATAGGGAAAGTGTCATTCATTGTCAAAATATCTTGATGAAAACAACAGAGTGCTGCCACATTTCACTGTAATCTCTCTAAGACTAGTAATGCCACTCAACACTAGCCTCGCCATTATGTTTGCACGGTTACAAATCCAATATGACACCTGGAACTGTAAAAAGGACTATTGTTTGGGTGGTTATAGAGATGCGTGTGCTCTTATTGGTGGAGGGTTGTGTCTTATCTCGTGCTAATCACCTTGTGTGAGGTGAGCAATTGATGAATGAGATTGAAAAAAATTAAATTTTAAAAAGCACAAAAGATGTGACCAAGTTTGGCTTAACACTTTTGAAAATTCTCCTATTGAATTGAGGTAACCCGTCATTTATGAACTTACAAGAACTGATAGTTTGGATTTATCAATTTAGCTGATTATGTAAATTGGCCACAGTAAAGAGTTTCTCAAGCCCACATTTTGAGTGTCAGCCCTTTGTCAGAAAGAATGGTTAACACTCAAAATGTCAGCCTTAGAAACTCTTTTCAACTCGCCAATTTGCAGTAGCAACTCGATTGATAAAATCAAATTATCTTGAAATATTCGCCACTTATGCAACACCACAGAAATGTACCCCCTTTATTTATTTATGAACTTAAACTTGTTAGTCTACATTGTGAATTGAAAATGTCTGTGTCTTTGCAGAGGAGAATTAAAGCTGGCTGATTTTGGATTAGCAAGATTGTACGAGGCAGATGAAAGGTGCAGTCATATTATGCAATGTTACCCCTTTCTTACCTAAGATAAGTTGTCTCTACTGATGTCCACCCAATAGACAAAGAATTTGGTGTTAAAATATAAAATGATATAAGCAGTTGACAAGAACATAGCCGCTCTCCTATCATGTAATACTAACTTTGCATGGCATTTCTTAAAAATAAACCATTACCTTTCAGTTGCCTGACTAGCCATCAAAATTCAAATTATTTCATAAGGAAGATAATATTAACAAAAACAACAACAAAATAGATTTATTTTTAGCAATTAAAATGCGTTTGCGAGATGATAAACATTTATGTTTCATCGAGGAAACACTAATTGAATGGATAGATCCAAGTCAAGCAAATTGCAATCTTTTAGAATTGAAAAGTATATAAACACAATAAGGTATCCATAGTGGTTTTTGTTTTGGCACTGGTGTAAAAATTACTAGTATTAATAGACATTTTTTTGATACATTTCTGAATATAATAAATTTTTTTCTTTAATTTGAAACTTTTGTTGTATTTAGGAGGCCATACACAAATAAGGTCATCACATTGTGGTACAGACCACCAGAACTGTTACTGGGAGAAGAACGCTATGGGCCTGGCATAGACATCTGGAGTGTGGGGTATGTAGAAAATACTTAGATATGCCATCTAATTTCATTACATAACTGGATAAGGTTTGGTACAGTTTTTAGATAGATTGACCACTATTGAACCAAGTCACTCTCCTGGAGCACTCTTGTACTCCTTTACAATTATTAATTGTCATATTTATCTAACTTCTTGCTTTCACTTTTTGTTTCTCTTTCTCAGGTGTATACTGGGGGAACTATTCACCAAGAAACCAATATTTCCTGCATTACAGGAGATAGGTCAGCTTGAACTAATCAGGTGAGGAGAGAAACACACATTGTTTAACCTGCCGTTTGAGACAAGTAGATCAAGACATGCACTGTAGCTGTTTCCACTTCTGTGGACAAAATTCCACCCCTTACCCCTATATGAAATATGCCACCACCAATCTAAAGAATTTAAAACTTCTTTACTTCAAGACTTTCTTTGCTTCCAACTATATATTGTTACCAAAAAGATAGGAAAGGGCTTCTTGATTTAATTAAAATTATAAATTAATGGAATGATACAGTTTATGAGAATTGTTAGATCAAGAAACCAAATTAATGAATGTTTTTGTTAGTTTTTGCATGTGAATAATCTTAGAAAGCACTTTGCAACCCGTGACTTAAGATTAGGTAAAAAGTAATGAAATATTGGTTGTGTGAGATCAATTCCAAAAATATTTAATGAACACATAAAGTAATTCTCATATTTTTGAGGTATTGTTTGTGATACCAGCAACTAGAATTTGTTTCTTTCAATGTGAAGCCGTATCTGTGGAACACCAACACCGGCAGTATGGCCTGATGTCATTCATTTGCCACACTTTCACACAATGAAGCCCAAGAAACAGTACCGCAGAAGAGTGAAAGATGAATTTTCTTTGTAAGTCACCTGCGATAAAATTCCTGTGTGTTGAATGCTGCCTCGAGAATTTTGAAGTTATTGTTTACAGTTTATCTTCCCATCAAGTAAATGTAATGAATATCTTCTGCCATGTCCTTTCAACCCTTAAGTTTCTTATTTCAGCGGCCCTCCTCTCTGCTTTGCTCTCAGACAACATCTCAATCTGTTCTTTTCCTTCTGTGATCATTTCAGTGTTGCGCCATAAATGAAAAAAAAAAAAGCTTGTCAGTTGCACTTTGATTTCTTGTCATATCATGCGTTGTCTTTTTCAGTTGAAAAAGACACATTTGAGCTTTTCTACTCTTAACTTTCACTTCAGTATTAAGGGACACGTCTAGTTTGTCTTTTAGTATGCCAGCTGATGCATTGGACCTGTTTGACCGCATGTTGACACTGGATCCTTCGAAGAGGATCACAGCAGAAGAATCCCTACAGCATCCCTTTCTGAAGGATGTTGTTTGTGAGAACATCAGCCCACCAAGGTATTATTCTATCTTTGGGTGCTACTATCAGGGATCAACAAAGATATCTTACTAGACCAAGAAATCCACAGGCATGCATTGAAAGTGTTTTCTCTCACTAGCTTCCTTATTAATTATTCTTTTAATAAAGGTAACTGGTTTTTGTACTTAGTATGGAATGAAGTAATTTAATTTTCATTCATATTTTCTGTTCTTTAAGCCTACCAACATGGCAGGACTGTCATGAGATGTGGAGTAAGAAACGCAGACGCAAAGGAGAGGGGAAAGTAGCTGAGGATGCAGGCTTAGCAAAACAAACAAGGAGAGGATCTGTTGCTGACAGCCTAGAAAATTCCAACAGTCTTCCTACACTATCAGTAACGGGGGAGCAAGAAGAGAGATCATTAGAATCACTCGAGTCTTCAACGATTCTTCGCAGACAGAGCATCGAGACAGTTGAAATGGAGACAGAAGAAACTTCTGCTGATGGGTATTCCACAAGAGATGAACATGTGTTCTATGATCGAGAAGAAGCACACCAGTATTCATATACTGAAGACAACCCGAAGTCTTCTTTCTTGCAGGATTCATATTATCGTGATTACCCAAGGGACTATCCAGGAGGATCAAGCAACAATTCTCACAGTGCTTCTGTGGATGATTATCCTCATCCGTATTCAAGGGAAAATAGTGATAACAGCAGGGGAAATAGGTATTCACAGTCCACTGTGCATTATGAACAGTTGTCTCCTCCTACAGATCAAGAAAGATGTTCCTTTTCTGATAAGTTTAGACATTACAGTTATGGAGAGGGCGCTACCGGTAGTAACAAAGATTACAATAACTCCTCCACACGATCATACAGGGAGGAGTCGGCACCTTATCTTTACAGAGAACGTTACTCAGAAAGTTTTACTCAAAAGCGCGAAGTCTTTGATTACAGTGATTCCCATTATGATCACCTTCCTGTTACTGCTGGAAACAGAGGATCCAGTCCACAGCATGGTGTGGAGTCTTATCAAGGATGGTGATAAAGAATTTGGCAAATGGTTTTTCTTTTTTTTTTTTTTTTCGCTTAACAACCTAAAGAATACTGGTGCTACATCAGGAGATGTCATCAACACTACACTCTATCAGAGACTTGTATATAATATGATATAATTTTATTTTTAAGAAGCAACTGCTAATTATCTTGCTAGAAGAGAAGTTGTCGTCTTCTCATCAGTATGTAATTTTTCTACCAACCAAACTATCATGTTACCATTGTAAGCAGCATGTTTTACGCTGGTTGACTTGTTAACATGTCTGACCACTGCAGGGCTTTATAAGGCAATAAAAAGTTTAACTGGTTATTAATTTGATTCTTCAGTACCTTGTAGCTGTATTGCTTATTTTGGGTTTTTTGAACTTGTTACCAAGCGGTGCTACAAAATAACACTTCTAGTCTCTTTTGTTCGCCTTCCTTATTTTATGGCTGGACCACAGATTCAATCATGCATGCACAACAATTAAGTGACATAGACATCATACTCTACAGTATTGCCCAGTGCAAGAGGAAACAAACATTGAACTAACTGAGGAGGTTAGACTTCTAAAAGGGTAGGCTGGATGAAAGAAAAGTGAAAGTGTTACTTTCAAGCTTGTGAATTAGCCTGCTTCTATTCTTCCCTTAACTTTGTTTTATGGTGGCCACTTGTCTGATGAGGGATCTGTGATTTGGTAGTTCTCAACAATTGCTTCAGTCGCTTGGCACATTTTCACAACCATGTATGATAACCAACTATTAAATTCTGACTAAACAGACATTTTCTGTGTTGAAATGGATGTTTAATTGGGCTGCTAATACAACATCAGATTTGACGGCTAAAGAAATTGAACTGCACGCAAGCTTTAATTATCTCTTAAATACCACAATTATTTTAGCATCTATGGACATAAAGTTCAGGAAGCCCAGTTCATACCAGTGAGGGACTTTGCTTTGTGATCCTTGTATCCTGTAAACGTAAATTTAAACTTGAATAGAAGTTAAAGAAATAAGCCACTTGTATCCAACATAACGGAGTTCTTACTGCAAACAATATTGTGCATGCTGTTCACACGCATTACTCTGTCCTTCATAACTAGATCATCAAGTGTTTACCACGCAGATTCAATAAACTTTATTAATATCATTGTCCAGGAAAAGAATGAGATCTGCAAATAGCTGAGGCTGGTGGCACCTGGCTCAAGAGTACAGACTACAGGTGAAACATAGTTGACTGTTTCCTTCCAGACTGGACCCACATGCAAAGAATACTTTCAAATGATATGAATGCTGTGGAAGAGCACTCACTGAGCATGTGATTATCAGGGCAACTTTTAAGAATTATCTTTGCTTCTTCAGACACATTAAAAAGTGGAATTACTGCTTTGGAATTATAATCACCTTGCATGGGGTAATTTTAGCAAGACTGTAAACCACAAACCTCAACCAATTAGAGTAAGGTCAGCTGTATTGGCATGTCCTTTAACAGAAGTCAACTCTCCTTGTTTTTAAGTAAAGAGTGAAAAACTATATTCAGTTAAGTCAGTTTTGAGATTTTTTAGCCTCTGCAATTAGTTTTTTCAATCAATTATGTAATTAAGCAACTATTATGAACACATTTGGTGTATTTTATCATTTTATGTTTTAAACTTATTTTACAAGGCCTTGCAGAATACGCCTTTTCAGTGATGTGAGCCCCCTATATAGAGACTCATCATCATTATCCTTACTTTTATTAAAATCATCACAATTAACATTGTATACAGTGTAAAAGATTCTCATTTTTTACTCTAGTGAATACATAAGAAATAAAATACTGCAATTTATCTTATGGTATTGTCACTTCCTAGAATTGACCATACCATGAGACAGTAAAATGTCACCTGAGTAAATCTACAAATGCAAGTGGAGCAGAGTCAAGAAAATTGATTTTACACTAAAACAACAGTGATTTAATTCCTATAACATGCCATGATTCAGTTGCAACAGTAAGATAAATGAAATAAAGTGGTCTGTGTCAAAAAACTAAAATAGCTTGAGTCAATAATTTTAATGTACAATTCAAGAAACATAAATTATTTACGTGTCACTGTTATTTATAAACACTTTGTGACAATTATTGATAACTGTCTTCAAATTCATTGTAACCTCAGCTCAAGCTCTTCCAATTTGTTACTTTTCCTTAGAAATAACAGTAATATTCTGAAATTTTACTTAGAGAATACAGGATGATGATCAAAGCTGTCAAGTCAAATCATACCTAATTTCGTAACCCTCCTATGTAAGAGGAGAAAATATGTAATGGTCACTTAGAAATTTAAACATGTATCTTGGTAAATTGCTTTTTAAAATAAATGTATTCAGTGTGATACATAACATCAAAACATTCTCCTTGGAGGTATAAGCTCGTAAATTACTAGGAAGAAAACGTAACAGTATCTCAATAAGGAAGAAAATGAAAGTTTCCGCAATCCATAAGGGAGTGCATAAAGAACGGGATCACAGATACAAAGTTCGCATATAATATTTTGCAATATTTCGAGTAAGTAGGCCACAGATTTACAGAATTTCACATTTCTTTTTCTTTTTTCTTTTACTGTCCTTAACTGGTTTCAAACCGTCTTCTTTCCGCGATTTAATTTCCCTCATAAGATCAAAGAATACTTTGTCAACGTTCGCTTTTGTTTTAGCTGAAGTTTCGACAAAAGCTACGTTCCACTCCTTCGCCTTCGATTGAGCTTCGTCAGCTGTTACTTGCCGTTTATCTTCTAAGTCAGCCTTGTTTCCAACCAGCAAGAAAGGTATATGTTCGTCGTCTCCCTTAACGCGAAGAATCTGCTCTCTAAATTCCGATGTTGCTTCAAATGACTCGGGTTCAGTGATTGAGAACACGCAGAGAAATCCTTCCCCACTCCGAAAATAATTGTCGCGTATAGCGGCATAATCTTCCTGTCCTGCCGTGTCTAAAATATCTATTTGACACTCTTCTCCGTCTAAAACAACCTTTTTCCTATAGCTGTCAGCTTTGGTAGGCTCGTAGTCTTCAACAAACTGAAATAAATTATGACAAAATAAATTTCAATTATCCACTAGCTTGATGGGCATACGAGAAAATTCTGTTCCACTCCCTCAAAATAAAAAAATTCCAAATTATGGTTAAAAGTATTATCCACTAACAGGGCAAACATGAATCACTCACTATAAAATAAACTGTGGAATAGCTGCTTCTGAAGACAGTCAAGTCTGAGCGCTCTTATCACCCACCTCGTCATACATAAACTGCAGAGTAAGAGCTGACTTTCCAACCCCACCACTTCCAACCATGATCACTTTGTGTAACCCCAATTGCTTTTCCTTCGCACTTGACATTTTGGCAAACTTTTTGCCTTTAAAACTTGAAGCAAGTCTATCAGAACATGAACTGATCACACACTACACCTTCGGTCTACGAAGTTCAACACCCTTAAGAATTTAGCAGCCGCTCCTGGTTGTGAGTGACGGTGAGAGTAAAACCTTATCACGTGACACATGCGTCATCTCTATTTGAGGAAAGCAATAACTTGTCTGGGATGTACAAATTGAACTCTGTCACGCGAGGTTTTCATTGTTGGTTCCACAAATTTGATTACAAGCTACTCCAAATCATAAACCACAATTTCAAATCACGCTCTCCTTGAAATATTATTAAAACAAACAGAGATAAAAATCTTGTAACCAATGTGTCAGAATAAAGTTATGTAGCTTTCCAAATATTAGTCTTTATTTTGCAAAATTTGTGTCAGTTAAGGGGAAGGTATGGGGGACATTTTCTTTGATGGTTTAGGAACCAAAGATTTCAAGATCCAGGTAAATACTTGTGGACCATGAATGGGCTGAGATTTAAGAACAAACATGAATGTACAAAATATTCCTCAAGGCTAGGGTTTACATCAAAAACAAATTCTTACTCAGAAGAGCCCAACCCCTCCTTCCCCTAGAAATTAAAAGTGTTAAACAGCAACGCTAACTTTCTTTGACAATTACTGATGTTAGGACAGAAAATAGAGGCAATGCTACTCTTTTACATGAGATGTGCGGGGAGGATCTCAACTTTCAACTTCATTTTAATTTGTGATGTACTCTCTTATCATTTCAAATTGCACATACATAGAAACATGAAGACAACTATGTACAAGTCTGAATTCATACACAAATTTTAAAACAGCCACTTCAGTCATAAAAATATTATCAGTGAGGGCCATGTAAAATGCTTTGATCTCTCAAAGAAATTCACTTTCCATAGTTATCAAATACCAAAAATGTTCGTGTTCAATCATAGGTTTTCAATCATTATCTCAGTTAAAAGATTAGTCATTTCTACATGACTAGAAATGCCAGAAAAACTCTGATGAAATGTTCAGAATCGGAGCAAGATCACAATTGAATTTAGGTCCCTAACCATCTTTACATACAGTGATTGATATTAATTCGTGCTTGATAACTGACCAACAAGTGATCAATAATTATCCTGTTTTAAGCGATTTAGCCTTCTCTAGCAAATCTGCTTCACTAGCAGTATAATAACTTTCCTTCCAGATCTCTTTTAGCTTTCCAAGGATTTTTCCAAACTCTGGTCCAGGCTTGACTCCCAGCTTTTTCAAGTGTCCACCAGTAATGGGAAACACTGGAATGCACCATGTGTTTATTTCCTGTGCATGATCATGTTTTCCCTGGTAGTGTAAGAGTTCCAAAACATGACTTTTAATCAAACTTCTTACTTTCTCATTAGGTGCTGATACTATTATGTCTTGGTATGGCTTAAGAACATGCTCGTGAGGCTTGGGTATTCTGTGTTCAGTTACAAATTTGCCCAAGGCTTTCTCTGCATTAGAAAGTTTCCACTGCCTTGCAAGGTCTTCAGCCTCCTGTGCATTGTTGACAAGGGAACAAAGTAGAGTTTCAGGTTGAAGTGGATGGATGTTATGTTCCCTCCATGCCCTTGTCAACTCCTGCATGCTCTCTTTAGAATAAGTAGGCAAACCTGAAATTAGACACCAACACCTACTTTTAGTTTACATTTATTGATATGGAAAAAACAGCTTTTTACCATAATTGGTAGTTATGTTGCTATCTCAGTAAAAAAACAAATCAACAGTGGTTTAGCATGGTCTATACCCTAATCAACAACTATATACTAAAACAGTGGAAAGCATCCCAGGTGTGCTCTGATTGGCTTCTCAAACTCTGAATATCCCTTGCTATTCACCTCTGAGCAATGGGTGCAGAAGTTGCACCTGAAAAGTATTGTAATCATTGCAGCCAAAGAGGTAAAAATTGTCTTTTTGTATTATATTGTCTCACTGCTTTAGTGTATACTCAATGTTAGTGGTTAGCAGTGGGTATTTTCCTCACAACTTTGCCGCAAGGTAAATATTCATCACTAGCCACCTCCACTTTGGTGAATTGTCCTTAATCACCAGTAGCAGTATCTAGACCTCAGCTCAAGATAGATTTTATGTGCAATTTTTGTATTTTTACCATTTTAACTTTTTCTTATTCAAATAAGTACTTCACAGCACTAAAAGAAAAAAAGATTTTGTGGTGTTAAATGTGTTAATGCCAGAGGGGTATAGGCTCAGTCCTCTATGGGGAAAGGAAGGTAGGGAGGTAAGAAGACTGGAATAAGTACTAAAGACTCCAAATGGATACTAGAAAGACATGCAAGTATCTGTCACTGATTTTTTTTTTTTTTTTTTACTCTACATTTAACTTTCCACTTGACCTGGTCCCTGTATTAGCCTCACAACCCATCTAGCACAAACTTATCCTACATTCAGCAGAGAGAACCAGGAGTATCGCTCTTTCACTTTGATAGGACATAGCCCCAGGCTGTTGGGAATTCTTTAAAGTTTCCTGGCAGTTTGATTGTAGCCATGTATATTTCTGGGCGGAGAGGGACAATGTGAGAGTTGAGTGTCTTGCTCAGTGACACAACACAGTAACCTGGTCTAGGCACAACCTCAAACCTCTCAAACACGCATTCAGTGCACTAAATCTAGATCTAAATCTAAATGTCTAATCTGCAAAGGGCAATACACCCTGCACTAACTACTGACCCACGGCACCTTTCCCAGCCTGTACACTTTCTTCCAGTATGTATCTATGTATCACTCACCAATGCACTGAGAAACATTAAGCTCATACATATGGCGCAAAATACTTGGTGTGTAATTTCCAGTCAAAATTTTTGAGACTTCTATCCAAATTCGTTCAACAGCAATCTTTTTCAATCCCTCTGCGCATTGCCGTATGGCATTCAAGGTTGTTTGGTCATGGTTGTCTTCTTTTAAAGCTATTCTTCCATAAAAACGAAAATATCTCAGAATTCGTAGGTAATCCTCCTTTATTCGCAACTGTGGATCGCCTACAAATCTGACACGACGGTTGAACAGATCTTCCCTTCCGCCAAAATAGTCATACAAACTACCGTCTAGTCCCAAACTCATGGCATTAAAAGTAAGGTCTCGCCTCTCTGCATCTAATTTCCAGTTTTGGGTAAAATCTACTTTTGCATGTCTACCATCCGTTTCAGCATCAGTTCGCAAAGTCGTCACTTCAAAATCTTGCTTGTTAACATGAGCTGTGATAGTTCCGTGGCTTAGGCCGGTCTCAATGAAATGTATATTGTGTTGTTTGAACAAGTGAATCATCTTTTCCGGGGTAGCATTTGTTCCAAGGTCAACGTCCTTCGGTTGTATTCCCAAAAGAATGTCGCGAACTGCTCCACCGACTATTCTAACGTCGTATCCGTTCTGTAGAAATGGTTCTGCAACAGTGAGTAATTCTGGAGAGAGAACATTTTTGAACTCGGGCGAATCCAGTGTTTCCACGGCGTTGTAAGACATTTTCCCTCGAACTGGATGAAATAAATCTCGAGAAATACCCAAAAGGTGCCTTGAAGTTGTTCTTCTTAACAGGTCATGCAGGCTAAATATCAGATTGGAGTTAGTAACTAACATGAAATCGTCTCAGGGTATCGTAGTTTCTCTTCTGATACAGTTCACGATCAGTCTGATTCAAACACTCTTTTACCCTGATTCAAACCAACAGGAATGAAAAGAGACGTGCGGTACGAAATGCGGGCTCAGACGTGCGCTTAGTTATTATTATTAGTTAGTTATTGGTTATTATTAAAAACTGGATCATTGGATATTCAAGACTTTTAGCCATTATGGTATATCAGCCAATTTACCATAATCTAATATCTGTACATCGTAATATCCGGTCTCTTCTCACGAAATACAGTCGAGAAGATTTGTCTAATATCTTGGGGGCGTTTTTTTTTTTTTAATAAAACAATTATTCAAAGAAACTGATTGAAACACGGAAGAGGGTATGCGTTCATCAACGCGGGCTCAAAAGTTCTAGGTCTAAAATTTAGCGAAATTAGTGGAAAACAACAAAGGCTAACATTTAAAACCGAGGAACTTTGTTTTCGTCAAAGGCATTTTCCTATTTCCAGAAGTTTTAAGGAGAAAATTAATTTTCGAAAATTTTTAGGGGGTGTACCAAATTTTTGTAGGTCGTTCTGTAAAAAAGGAAAGCGGCAAGAAAAACAAAGCCTTCAAGCAACAGAATAGGAAATCAACCCTGCAAACTACTCAAAAATCCGTTTTCCGGGGCAAAATCTAACGCATGCGCATACGTTATTCAGCTCTGATAATTTAATAATAATTCAATAATAATAATAATAATAATAATTTAATATTAATATTGCGCAAATTGGCCGGACTGCATCAGCAGTTTACAAACAATCGAAGGAAACTTATTTGAAGATGCACCCTCCCCCCCAATTCCCAGTACACAGGCCAGACCACATCACAGTAATCTCGTGAGTGGGTTCTTTAATGTCCCCTGCCTAACCAAATTAACTAATTCATCGATGCAGGAGACGGGACCTACGGTTTATTCGTCCTTATCCGCGAAGACTACAATGTCTATCCATTTCTTGATATTATAGAAAGGTAACGCATTCTCCTCAGTTATTTTAAGACCTTGAGTGTTGGTCCGGCCGGGGCTCGAACCATCGACCTCGACCTCCCGCACAACAGTCCAGTGCTCTAACCAATTGGGCTAACCGGGAGGCGGTTATTTACTCTGTTGGAGATTTATTCTGTCATTCAAACCATCATTTTTATAAGTAGTTTGGTTATGTGAGCTAGGTTGAAATTGTAAATTGGCCACCGTAATGAGTTAAAAGCTGACGTTTCGAGCGTTAGCCCTTTGTCATTCGCTCTGACGAAGGGCTAACGCTCGAAACGTCAGCTTTTCAACTCGTTATGATGGCCAATTTGCAAATTGAACCTTTTATCATTTTATAGTGCCGCTGATATTCGGCAAAAGATTCAGGTACGCTGTACGAATTATCAAGAATTATCTGTGCGGGCGTGGTAAGGGTTACCCAGCGAGCAGAGGTCTCTTCACTCTTCTACCTCTGCTCACAGCGTAGGTAAGGGCCACATAGAGTGAATTTTAGAGGGGTTGGCCAGTATTTCCTGACTGATTTTTCCTTATTTAATGAATATCGATAAATTATTTTACCAAGTAAATCCATACGCAATTACAAATACTATCGCCATTTATCCCAACGATTACGGGGGACGCTTTCACGATTGTTGTCAGGAAAAAGGAATATCAGTGGTGTGGAAAGCGTGAAATGTTAGAAGATAGTTTGATACATGGATGAATAAAACATCGGTACAAACTTGCTGTCAGGTTCAAAAGGTCAAAAGACGGTTGTCTGAGAGATTTACAAATATGACATATCAATATCCATTTGTTATTTGCCATTTTTGCGGTGATCGTTTTTAATGGGGCATATGGCTGAGTTAGAATCGGAAGTGGATTTCCTTGACTCAGTTAACATCGAGAACGACAGTGACATTGAACTGAGGGGTAGAAATCATTTTTGTATTACAATTATTGGCCTTGATTACCATGATTTCACCCACACTTCATAAAAACCTCATCTTTAATTTCTTTCAAGTTAGAAAAAAAAGTTTCATATTCATGAAAAATAGAAACAGTGGCACTTAATCGAAACTCTGAAGAATTAAGCTTTATCCGTATCGTTTAGTCGCTACCACGAAAAACGATCGAGTTTGAAGTCATCGTCTGTTTTTTCATACACGCCAACTGCTTAGTTCTAACGTCTTGAAAGAAAATTAAAGTGCACCTGACCCCTAAACTTTTGTTTTACTTAAAAAAATTCCTGCTTTGGTGAGTATTTCTTCGAAAAAATTGTTGGATTTGGTTAAACCCTCATTTTTTTATGCCCTGTTGAAGTCGAGATCCGAATGGACCACGACCGCGTAAATGGGGATCTGGGCAGAGTAGACTTGTGACGTCACTTCGAGAAGACGTTCAAGGAATTCTCAGCCAGTCGTCGACCTGCGAAAGCCTTTCTAGCACTAGATTCATTCTGCGGCAGATTTGCGACCAATATCGATCTAACCTTCCAAACGTTAACATAACCAGTGAACTGTGCAAAATGGCGCGAAATACAGATTGTTGGGTTCTCGAAGTGATGTCGCATTAATCACCAGACTCTTGATCCTTGAAACGCGGTCGTGAGTCAAAATGGCGGTGATTTTAATGCGATTTTCCGTACCTCAACGGGGCACAAAAACTCAAGGATTTGACCAAATCCAAAAATTTTTTCGAAGAGATGCTCACCAAAGGATGAAGATTTTTTTAAACGAAAAAAATTTAGGGGTTAAGTGCACTTTAAAACACATAAAAGTTATGTGCTATTTATCTTAGTTCTATGAGTAATTTTCTTCAATTCACCCTAGATAACTGCCGTTAACTCGAATTGCATATATGGGAGAGGTAATTCTGTTTTATCGATCGTCTGGATATACCGTGACAATAAAGTTGACGAAGTCGGCTTCCTTTAGACACCGAAAAAATGGCGGGGGATTCGATGGGAAACGGGATTACCATATCGCTCCGACGAAGGGCTAACGCTCGAAACGTCAGCTTTTATAATCGTAACGGTGGCCAATTTACCGTTTCAACTTTGTTGATATATTCAAATTATACCATATCTATACATGTATACCCATATATGGGCAGGCACTAGTCTCTTGAAGTTTTGTATAGGATTATTGTCGGGCTTTTTGTTGTCTCTCAGTTAGGATCGTTTATTCAGATATACTGATTTTTTACCCTTTTTGGATCAAAAAGGGCACCTTGCCAAGGATCAGAAAGATGTGGAGGCTGGTTCAAATTCCGGCCTAATAAAGAAAACGCAAACAAAGATTTCCTTGTACCAAAAACTTGAGCTGGAATGCGCATTCCCGCAGACTCCTTATCCTTCACGAGCAGTTCGGGCTCACTCGACTCACAGACCGGGACTCAACCATCAAACTTTGTTGGTAAGCTGCACTTTGAACCATAAAAGCTTGTTAGAAGATTTTTCTAACACTCAGTTGGGATTTCTTTATTTCTGACTTTAATTTCTTACACGTACAACTATATAGCCTTGGGAACTAGCTCAAATCTCTGAAGGAAAATGTTGGTCATCAGTTCATAAAGGCGACAGTTACTAGTAACAAGCTGTCAATATTCAGTGACCAACGTAACATTTTTTTTACCCTACCAGCGAATCATGTTGAGTTACGTATATACCTTCGGTTTGTTTACTCCTTCCAGAAAGACTTTCTACCTAAAATTTCATACTTTTATGGTTAAGATCGGTCAAAACAGAAACAAGATTGATAAAATTGTAAAGAAACCATTGTGCAAATTAGAATTGCACATAAAAAGTTTACTAAAACGAAAACAGCCCTTAAAGTTTGTTACATAAAGAGAGAATAAACAGAAGATTTAAGGAAGAAGGGACATATACGAGTACCGCACCCAAAAAGACTATAAATTCAGTGCGGAAGATGAAAAGTACAAATTGTTTACCTTAAAGGTCACCTTAAAGAAAGAGGTGTTGAGTGCGTCAAATTAAAATTTAAGGAATAGGAAAAAATCAACTTTACCTATTGTAATTTTGTACTGAATGGATTTTTTTTAATATATGTTATTTTCATTCATTTTTTAACACTTAAATAAGTTTAAAAACATTCTTAATAAAAATTCTTGCTGGATTCCAATTTTGTCTTTTTAACAAACTTGACTTGTTTGGTTTACTTTGAACTCTAAATTATCTCCCTCGCTTGACAAACAAAAGGAAGAATGAATTGAAAGTCCCTTTTTCAAGGATCTTGTTCATAAGAGAAGCGTGAGCGTCAGCCTCGAGCAGCTCTGGTTTGTTGACGTTCACCAAACTTTCCAAGTGCATCCATGCCTCGATACACGCACAGCTAAAACCATGAACCATTTGTTTTTTAACATAGCGGACACAGTTTGGGCTCTAAAAGATAGTTTTATTACCTTGTTATGTCGGCTTAACTTGATAATCGCGTATTTCTTGAAAACTATGAATAAAAAGCAAGGCAAACCCGATTAAAAATTTCATTCAAATAAAAGTTCCAACGTCGGAGAGCCTTTAATTCTTGAAGTCAGTAAGCTCACTTTTCATTTTCCAGCCATAATTTGTAGAGCTTTTGGGAATGAAGTACTATGAACTATAAATAAATTTCGTCGCTTTAAAGAGCTACATGTTGATTGTTTTTCGGATCAAGTATCATTTGGCCTGAGATAATTTGGTTTTTCAACTGAGTCAATAATTTAAATTGACCACTGTTAAGAGTTCCTCATTCGCTCTAACGAAGGGCTAACGTCCCAAACGTTAGCTTTTCCTGTTTATTATTATTTTTTTTTACTGTTTTTGGTTCGTGCTGTTTGTTTGCTTTACGATTCAACAGCTTTGAGTTTAAGAAAAATTAAAAATATTCTTGGTAAACTTATTCAATTTTTTTCAGAACTGGTCAGTTAAAAAACGGCGATACCGCTGGCGACGACAGAGCCTCAACCCGGGAGTTGCAGTGCCATGTTCTGGCTCCCTCTTACCTGAGGGTCCAGTAAGTATCCTGGGCGAAGCTAGAACACAAGATCCTTATCAGTTATCTTGTTGCTTCCAGGCACCATACGCTTGTCATT